AGAGTACATAGCAGCGAGTGAAGCGTCGAAAGAAGCAGCTTGGTTGAGGAACTTCATCGGAGATCTCGGAGTTGTTCCAACCATCCAGGAGCCTATGGAACTGTTCTGCGATAATGAAGGAGCGGTTGCCTTGACAAAGGACCCGAGAGATCATGTGTAAAACCAGACATATCGACAGAAAGTACCATTTCATCAGACATAGAGTAGAAGAAGGCCATCTTGTAGTAAAGAGGGTGTCATCTGAAGATAACCCAGCAGATCCCTCACAAAGGGTCTGAGTAGGGCTAAGCATATTCAGCATGCTCGGAGCATAGGACTGAAAGATGATATTAGTTTTAGTAGTTAGATCAGTTTTGTTTTGAAACTTGTAACAAAATAAATGTAATTGACTTTTGGTGATTAATAATAAAGTATTATTTATAGTTTGATTACTGCCTTTTGTTAATTGTTTATTATTGTGTTTCATATTTTGCATGTTTTACTTCCTGAATAAAGATTATTCAAAACTCCACAGTCGCTCGTACTTTTGGAAGTAAGTAGTGTAAGAATTAAGACTGTATGAATTGATTGTAGATTGTCTAAGGATAGACATGGCAATAGAATTGCTGCAACGTTCATGAGTACTCAGAAATTGAGATTTGAGTATTGGATAAACCCTCGCTCAGAGTATCACTTCATGGAATTCATCACGAGTAATACTGAGACGATAATATCTTATAATCTTGAAACGAAGATATATGAGTTGTAATTTACAAGTCGGTTATACATTGGTGATACGAAAACGCATCAGTAACTTGGTGTTATAAAAACGTATTGTCATGTATAATTTGATGAGTAAAAGATACAAGCATATGAGTCAACGTTTATTCGTTCCTTTTGCCCTAACCGGAAAAGCGATATCTGTGGGCCCCTCGATGATTTGTGTTGACTTATGTGCTGGGCCCAGCCAGGACTAATTGATGTGTTCAATTAGAAGTCCTACATCATCACAAATCAGGAATTCGGGAAACATAGATTCTGGACAAAGAGATTGATTACATTCCATGTCTTTTGTCTAGGGATATCTGCAGCAGAACAAGGATTATATGATCACTTATCTTAGGACACGTAACTGACTGGGTCAAAGTTCGGCAGCAGCTTTTGGAAGCTACAATTTGCTGGTCAATTTAGAAGGCATACTAGCAATTATAGTTACAGACTTATCCAAGTGGGAGACTGTTGGATTAGGTGTCTAAGCCCATAACTATAATTGGTATGTACTTGAATTGATAGCAGCACAGTCCTTTTGGGTTGCCCTCAACCTAGCAACTGGACAAGGAAATTATGAAATGAGAGATATTAATTATAAGATTGATAATTAATATATAAATGATTTATTAATATGTTAGTGGATTAATATATTAATTAGAAATCATTATGTTTAATTAATAGTTAGCCAGAAATTAATCAGAATTAATTTGGGGTTAAAAGAATTAATTATAAAGTGCAGGGACTAGTTTGCAATTAACTAATAGTTGAGTGGAAGGATCCAGAACCCCCTTGGAAGGAGGTGGACGAAATCCATAGGGGAAACCCTAGAGATTTCGTCCAAGGGGTCCAGATAAGGCCCTTGGGTTTTGCTTAGGCCCTAAGCAAAGGATAATTAGGGTTTTCCCTAAACCCTAATACCTCAGCTATTTAAACCCTAAATACCTCAGCTCTATTTAAGGAGCCTCCTGGCTCACATTTTAGGTGACTCTGTTCTTTGGAAGAAACCCTGGCCGAAATTGCATACTCCCTCCCCTCTCTCTTCTTCTACTTTCCTTCTTGCTAGTTCTTGGGTGTGATTCCATTAGAGGCATTACACTTGTGGTGCTAAGCTTCCAAGAAGATCAAGATCAAGATCAAGGGAATTATCAATTGTTTGCTATAACAATTGAAAGGTATGTAACTCCTAAACCCTAGTTTACTATTTTTGAAAATAGCCTCCTTCTCTAGGGTTCTTGTTTTGCAATTCAAAGTTGTATGTTCAATAGTTAAAACATAGATCCAAAGTAGGTTGCATGTGAACTTAGGAATTGTTTTCTGGTTTATTTGTTTTACCTAAAACCCATCAGCATGATGGGCCGATGGAGGATTATAGGTGCCGGCAATGTGAGGCGTGAGTGGCAGTGGGCCACCTTGAGTTGGAACATTAAATTGTAATGAGGCATGAGGGTAAGCAGTAGCATTTTGCACACCAAAAAAATAAGGAGATTGATTTGTAGCTTGTGCATTTGGGTGTGCTCCCATAATTCCGGAAAATTGAGAGCTTGTATTTGTACCTGCAGATGGGTTAGTGTTGGAAAAAATACCCGAATTACCCCCCCCCCCTTTGGAAGTATTCCGATTATTATTACGGCTTTTATTCCATTTGTTTTTCGATTTTCCGGTTTGGTGAGGGACGGAATAAAGAGCCGTTGTGGTGGTAGACATCGGGTCTAGCATCGTGTCATTGTTATCTTCGCGGTTTTCATGTAAAAGAAGCATATTCTTGGCTTCCACGAATGACGGGAAAGGTTTGGTGTTGGTAACAACATCAACAATGCTATGGTAGGAAGGCGGTAGACCACAGAGTATTTGCATGACAAGTTCGACTTCGGATATTTCAGAGTCGACATCATGGAGAGCATCGGCGAGATGTTTGAGGTTATGACAATAATCATGAATTGAGGAAGCACCTTTCTTTGAGTTACGAAACTGTTCTTGAAGTTGGAGCATTCTTGGCATTTTATTGTTGAGAAAAAAATTCATGTAGGTTGTCCCACATGTCTTTAGCAGTGCATGAGTCCTTGGTAATAACTTGTAATACGGAGGGATCACAAGTAGAATAGAACCAGGACTTGACACGAGCATCAATGGAGTGCCAATCTTCATCATCATCATCGTTAGGTATGGATTTTCCAGTAATATGACCCAAAACCTTAGCCCCGGTACAAATATCTTTAAAAATACGACACCAAAGTTTGTATTTAGATCCGTCAGATGTGAGTTTGAAACTGAAGGAATTGTATACATTGGTTACAGCATAAACAAGTTGCTGTGCAGTAGGTGCGATATTTGAGGTTCCGGCAACGGTGGTCATGGTGTGGAAAATCGAAAAACACAATGTAATAAACTAAACGTAATAATAATTAGATAACTAACGTTCGGAAGAGGGATTAGAGTAAATTTACCGAACTAAACAGTGAATGTTGTAGATATGGAGGCAGCGGATAACAGACGTGAATGGTTGGAGCCGACCAAAAAATAAGATCGCAGACAAATGGTTGCAGTCGATGAGTGGCATAGCACGTGGGCAGGAGGCAGGCGTGAATTGTACCCAGAGAAGGAGGAACGAGCGAAAGAAAAAAAAACACGACTAATTTTGTATGCTAGGTCGGCGGCTTGTCCAGGCTCGATACCATGTTTGACTGTGGAAATTATCCCTCTTAGGGTTTGCATTGAAAACATCAGTATAAATAATACAGGGTTTGAAATAATTACATAAGGACCCCTACACTATACAAAGAATAAATATATACATAATTAACAATATCCATTAGTGATGGGTTAGAATTCGAGTTTGAAGATCCTTGGAATCTCTTAAAAGATCTCCCGTATTTTTAATTTGTATTGCGTTTGTAGAAGGATATTTTAATGTAGTTTATTTTTATTAGGTTATTTATATGCACCGGTTTGTATTACGTTATTTATATGTATTTGGTTTGTATTAGGTTATTTACGAAACTAGTTGAGTTAACTTCTACTTTATTCCATAGAACATAAAATACAAAACAGTACAAATACATAGAAAACATACATCAGTACCAAACATATTACATAAAACATTTCACATAAAAAATCCCTTCTACATGAAATACTGGTGGTTCTTAACCAGATTCCAAGCGTCCACATACTCAAAGTCTTTTCCCTCATGCTCGAAAATGTAATGATCTAAAATCATTTCTACAAGAGCTTCCTCGTTTGAGTAATAATAATTACTACTATTTTTAAGATGATGATACCATCGATTGAACCATGTGATTTCGTTCTTTAACTCCATCCACTTACTAAGAATATCTACTTGTACCCGATATTCTCCTTGTCCAAATGAGAGGTTGAACATACCTGTTATGCGGGTCCATTCATCACCTCCAAGGTAATCAGGGGTAACCATTGTTGTTACACTTTCAAAAATGTTCAACCAACATCGTATTATAACCATCACCTCTCTTGTCGTCCATGGACGTGGAGTATCAGACGACGATGTTGCATTCGTAGAAGTTGGTGCATTGGAGACCATTTCTATATTTTTCAATACTGGGGTGAGTTGATACAGTATTTAACCGGTATGACAATTTATACATTGATCCGTAGAGGTGTACACTGATCTGCAGAGGTGTACACTGATCCACTGATAACAGTTCGGTGGATTCCCAAACAGTTCTGTGGATTGATGAAGTATACGGTTTTAGGTATTAGCGTATTTAACCTTTTTTTGTCAAATTTTTTACATAATAATCACATAACGTATTAGTGTATTTAAAAAAAAATATATTTTTAACTTTTTTTTTGTCAAATTTTTTACATAATAATCACTTAATGTATTAGTGTATTTAAAAAAAAAATTATATTAATAAACTAAAATTAATGCAAAAAAAAAACGAAAAAAAAAACTTTTTTTCTTAATTTTTTTACATAATAATCACATAACGTATTAATATATTTTAAAAAAAATAATATTTATAAACTAAAATTAACGCAAAAAAATGAAAAAAGAAATTAAAAAAATTAAAAAAACTCAATTCCGCAGAGGTGTAGCAAATCCGCAGAGGACTTAATAGATCCGCAGAGGGTGCTCTGCGGATCCTTTGGTCATTTTATGAAATGTGTTTTTCCTTGGTTATTTTCTTCAAACTACCCTCTTTTTTTGGTAATTTCTCGAATAATAGTGTGTGTTTTTGAAAAATTTAAACTTTATTTTCTTTTTACATATATATCAGCTACACTTATTAGTAACAACCAACGATTCTCTGTCACACACTTCAATGGCTTTACAGCAATACTCGTTGATGGCGGTGACACTAATCGCCATTACAGTCTCCTGCACGTCTAGGGTTCAATCAATCGGAGTAAACTGGGGCACCACCGCATCTCATCCTCTGCCGCCGTCGAAGGTAGTTGAGCTACTGAAGCTCAACAAAATCACCAAGGTAAAACTCTTCGACTCCAACCCTCAAGTCCTCGAAGCCCTCTCCGGCTCCGACATTGACGTAGCCGTCGGCATTCCTAATTCCATGCTTCGTTCCTTAAACTCTTCCGTCAAGGCCGCCGAGAGTTGGGTACACGATAATCTCACCCGTTACCTTTCCGGTCGTACGCGTATAGAGTATGTTACATTTCAGCCCCTTCTTCCCACACATAATTACTGCATTTTGTTGTTAGAATAATCAATAATGTGATCTGTCTTCAATTCAGGCATTTAATGTGTTCGTTATGTTACTTTCTGTCCATCAAACATGCGTTAAGGCTATTTATTTCTGGATTTGAGTTCTAATAACTAATCCACATTTTGATGTTAATCGGAACAATAACGATTGGCAATTAATAGGAATTTATGCATAGATTAAGTAATAACTGATTATGATCCAGATTCTCTGATTATTCTGGATTTCCCTTCTAAATTTATGCATACTCTTTGTTTTCTGATCAATTACTCTATGAATTACCCTAGAATTATGTTTATCATGTGATATTGAAAGAAAAGATAAACACACATTTGCAGGTATGTTGCTGTAGGAGATGATCCATTTCTCCAAACCTACGGTTCCCAATTCTACCCTTTTGTAGTTGGAGCAGCCATCAGTATCGAAGCAGCTTTAATCCGAGCTAAACTACAAAACAAGGTCAAAATCGTAATTCCATGTAGCTTCGATGCATTCCAATCAGAATCCAACCTACCCTCAACAGGCCACTTCCGACCCGATATCAACAAAACCATGATCGCTGTACTCAACTTCCTCACCAAAACTCACTCCCCTTTTTTTGTGACCATTTCGCCCTTCTTATCCCACTACCAATACAAGAACATTTCACTCGATTTCGCCCTTTTCAAAGAATCCGCACACCCACATAAAGACACCCATAATAGATCATATAAAAACAGCTTCGATCTAAGCTATGATACCCTCATTACCGCTTTAACAGTTGCAGGATTTCCCGAGGTCAAAATCGTAATTAGCCAAATCGGTTGGCCGACAGATGGAGCTCCAAATGCCACTGTGGCAAACGCAGAGATTTTCACCAAGGGTCTTTTCAACCATATCCATAGTCAAAAAGGGACCCCACTTCGACCTCGGGTGATGCCACTAGAATTTTACATTTATACCCTTGTAGATGAAGATCAAAGGAATACAAGTATGGGAAATTTCGAAAGACATTGGGGTTTGTTTACTTTTGATGGGCAAGCAAAGTACGAGGTTGAGTTTTTTCGAGGTGTGAAAGGGCTTGTGAATGCACAAAGTGTTGACTATCTTGCCCCTAGGTGGTGTGTTGTAAATAACAACTTGGATATGATGAATGCGAGTGCACGTGCCACGGAGGCGTGTATGAATGCTGACTGTACCGCACTTTCGCCAGGTAGCTCTTGTTTTAATCTGAGCTGGCCTGGTAATGTGTCGTATGCGTTTAACAGCTACTACCAGGAACATGATCAAAGGGCTGAGAGTTGTGATTTTGGGGGGCTTGGGATGATCACAACCGTTGATCCATCCGTTGGTGATTGTAGATTTAATGTTGAGCTGAAAGCTTCGTTATCAGTTATGTTTCATGGGTTGAACTTTTGGCATTATTTGATCTCATTTGTTTTAACGATTTTGATGTTGTTATAATGGTAGAATTATTTGTTGTAGTAGATTAGGGTTATTTGGGAGCAACAATATTTGCTTCTTTGAGGAGACTTATTAGGGTAATTGGTAGTTAATGTTGTTTTGCTGCTTCTTCTTCATGTGTTTATTCTAGAGTCCTTTTTATTTTGTATTGTATAGTTTGACATGTTCTGTTTTTTACTCTATTGCTTAAATTCCACATGTTCGATTAGTCTAAAAGTAGAATATACAAGTTCACGGTAGTATAATTATATATTACAATGTTGATCAAGTTATTTGTCACCTCCATAAAAATTTAAAACTATTAATAAATGATTGATAGATCGTAATAAAAAACTGATTACATGACACGATCAAACGAATTCTCAACAATGAAATTGTTGAGATGTGACTTGCACACTTAGGTGTATTTGGTAAAGAGAAATGAGTTTGATTCTATTTCCCTTGCTTGTTTAACATAAAGAATGAAGAAATGAGAAAAAAAACATGGAGAACCAGAAAAAAAACCCGAAGAATTGGAAAAGAAGGTTCGCTCTATGTCCTCTGACACATCCCAATTAAACCCTACGCTTCTCTATGGCGACTTCAAATTCGTAGATATGATCGATATAACCAATTAAATTGTATGAGAATATTGAAGGTTGATTGAGATGATCGGGGTGGTGTTCAACGATCATCCAAAGAACAAGGTTGGGTGAAGTGTAACGACGATGCCTGTAAGTTGTTTGTTGAAATGCCTTTACCACATAAGCTTTAATATGTGAGCTTCACGGACACATCGTTGAGATGCATGTATGTATAAACCATTTCAAACGTATATTAAACCGCTATGATTAAATTATATGCGAATTACCAAGTAAAACTTGCAACATTTATAAGATCCGAAGTAATATTTCATCTTACAAACACGTTAAAAATGTTATGGAAAAGGGGATTAAAAGGAATAACCTTTTAGAGCTTGCGAATTTGGTACAATCAGGTTCTCGTAAGATGAATGAAATTATGTTGGGGAGATGATCAAGATTATATCTTTAAACACCTCTCGGGATGAAATTATGTTGGGGAGATGATCAAGATTATATCTTTGAACACCTCTCGGTGATGAGGGAAGAAGTCAATCATTAAAGTTAAAATAAGTGAAGGTTGTTAGCTTGCATTTAGTAAGACGAGAGAAAGAAAGAGTTTCAAGTATAAATAAAGGGAAGTTCGATAACATTAGATTCATTATGTTATGTTGTCAAGTGGGGAAGCGTTTTCCCTTTCTCGAAAGGAGGAATCCTTAATAATTCAATATAACTCAATGACTCGTAGATCTGAACCATAATTTAAGTTATTTCCACTTGATTTTCATTCATTTTTGCAACAAACCTATATCAATTAGAATTAGAGCATCAGAGCAGCAGTTTCAATTCATCATATGAAATACCCATCTACTTAAGTTATTATATTGTTTAAAAATCATTTAGCTTCCATTAAAAACGTCATTTGCGAAAAATATGGTCTCATACTCTCTAGTTGTAAAAGTTTAATATAATAACATAAGTTCAAAGAAACTACTATGTCTAATTCTAAATATCCATGCCATCTATAGTATTCAATCACTAATCTCACATGAATACATGTAAAAATACGTAGTATAGGCATTGAGAATGCCTAGTAAGTAATACCATAATTCAACGTCTTTATGATTGAAGGAATCGACACATTCCTTAAACCAATAAGAATCCCTAAAATCATTTTAAAATCCTTAGAGTAATGTACTAATTAATTAATTTCATAGGCCATCTTTAAAATCTTTGTGAAACTCTTTAGACACTAATCATTAATCACATAGACATTTATGTCTAAATCATAAGTCATTAGACTTTTTTCATCATCAATAGACATTTGTGTCAAAATTATACATTATTAGTCATCATCAGACATCTGTGTCAAAATCATATCTCATGAATCATTCATCATAATATAACTTTTAATAAACATCATTTAATAAATATGACATACGTAGATGCAATGCAATATGCTTCTATCTCCTTCCCAACTAATTTCGTGTCTGTTTCCACTAGTCATTTGTTATTTTATAGCTCATTAGAGTCTATCTATAGTTAGCACAAAACCCATTATACATTACTCATTGTTTTGTCGTTTTAATAAGATACAAGTGTGTTATCGTCACAAGTATCCTGTACGAGTTATCTAACTTACATGTACAAGTGAGACATGTATAAAAGACCATCACTTAGGACAATGGTCCTTCATTATCCGGCATTAGTTTTGTCATTTACCATGGATTTTATTAGACACAACTCTTTATCCAACCTAAGTGGTGCACACCTTCATCGAGAAAAACTATTTCCAAAATGTCATTAATCATTTAGTCATAATACAAAATTCTTTCAAAATATTATTTTCGTGAATGCCCATATGTTTACATATAGAAATTTACATAGCACATAAATTATCTTAACATAATTAATATATTTCAACTCGTATAAATCATCATTAATCATATAAGAAACATGTATTCGGTAGTTACTCACCTCAAAACTTAATATCCCACTCCTTTCTAGCTTATAATGCCTTTTACTCACCACATCTTAAACTTCATAGTGCATCCTTAGCTTCAAATATCTACTCTAGCTTCTTTGAACACTTCTAGATCTTCTTCAACTTCAAAAAATCGTCATACACATACTCCCACTCTATCTAATCTCGTATTGAAGAGGTGAAGGAGAAGATAAGAAATCAAACTTATATATCTATGCCCTTTTAACACTTTAAACCCATGCAATCTTTATTCTTTCATTTTGAACACCACTTAAACTAATCTTTAATGAAAGTTTCGTAACTCAAATATTTTATCAACCAATTAAACGCCACAAGTTCGATTGAATTGTCATATTTAGTCATTCTCATTTATTTTTTCTTTTTAAGTATAAATTAATTTACTTTATTTAAATACTTAATTAAATAACAATATAATAATTCACTTAATCATTTAATTTTATTTATTAATTTTGTTAATTCTTGGTTAAATTTCAATTTAACAAAAATTATGTACGAATTAGACCCGTTTGGATGGTATGAGATCCGTACCCAACCCACCTTTTTGCATCATTTGATGCGAGATGGGGTTTATAACTTTTAACGAGTCGGCCACTCGAGAAGACGAGAACCCTATAAATCCGCTTAAATTCCCCTTCCCCCTTTCACTCTTTTTCTCTCTTGAACAGCTCCAAAGAAACCCTAACAAAAATGTCCGGGTACGGTCACGAAGGAGACGGATCTGCTCCACCGCCCGTTGGTGGAGGCTACGGTGGAAGTAGCGGTGGCTACGGAGGTAGTGGTGGAGGTTACGGAGGTAGCGGTGGCGGTGGAGGCGGATATGGAGGCAGCGGTGGGGGAGGTGGTTACGGAAGCAGTGGTGGTGGAGGCAGTTACGGAAGCAGTGGTGGTGGAGGTGGATCCTATGGCGGAAACCGTGGCGGAGGTGGAGGATATGGAGGCGGCGGCCGTGGTGGAGGTGGAGGCGGAGGGTATGGCAGTCGAGGTGGAAGTGGTGGCAGAGAAGGAGGTGGTGGTGGAGGATACGGTGGTAACTCACAAAATCGTGGTCGGTACATCACTCTGACTTTCGTCTCTAAATGTTTTCTTTCAACACAAAATTGAATTTGTCATTTCTTTTTTATTTAAATTCCAGGTGGAGGTGGATATCAAGGCGGAGATCGTGGGCGTGGAGGCGGAGGTGGTAGAGGTGGTGGACGTGGCAGTGGTAGAGAAGGAGACTGGCCTTGCCCTAAACCGGGGTAATTCATTTCTTCTCTCGATCTGCCCGTTTTCTTTTCGTTATACAAATAGGAATTTGTCTTATGGTTACGATGCACTCGATCACAATATTGGGATTGGACCTTTGTTACCATGTTTTAAGTTTTAAAGTGACGAATGTCGCTTCAATCATATCTCCCAAAAGAATCAAGAACTTACTGAAAGCACTAATATTACAACTTTACAAGTAGGACTTTGCAGTTCTCCACTTTTTTCGATTTTTTCCCTTGAAGATGTGAAGGTCAAGGATCAGTTGTTGTCCTTGCTTCATCTAGTTTACAAGTTGATTTATCACATTAATCTTGCACGCTCTAGATTCAGACTTCTGTAAATCATGTTCAATAAGAGATAGACGAATTTTAGAGAACTAAATAATAAGTATATGCTTGTTTTGAGATATTGGTGAGTGTTAACTAATAATGATACATGGGCATAAAATTAAGCTGTTTGAATTGGTGAATTCAGTAAAAATCTTGATGCTATGAGGCATGTTATTTTGTGGATCATCTTGTGTTGTGGCATTATGTTTTATGGTTATCATATGTCCTTCATTCTGTATAGAACAAACATACTACACGCCATACACTATCTAGCTGTTGTTGCTGGATGCATTCATTTTTCACTGTTTTTAGTAATATAATTCTGTCCTAACTCATTTTTCAGAGGTTTGTTGCTGTAACTTTTATATGTTTAGTATTCAGAAGTAACTTACATTCCCAATGAATAAAAGCTGCAATTTTGACTTAATAAATGTTCTTGTTAAATAGCTGTGGCAATTCAAATTTTTCTTGGAGAGCCGAGTGTAACAAATGTGGGACCCCCTCTCCTGCTGGCGCGGGTGCTGGAGGTGATCGTGGGCGTAATGATGGCGGCAGTTACAATAAAGGTGGGGGTGGACGCAGTGACAGTAGAGGTGGGAGTGGTGGTGGATATGGTGGTGATAGAGGAGGTAGGAGTGACTATGATGGTGGGAGTGGTGGCGGAAGTAGAGGAGGCGGTGGTTCCTATGGCGGCAGTCAAGGAAGAGACAGCGGTGGTTATGGTCAGGGGGCGGCAGCAGGGTATGGCGGATCTGACAGTAGTTATCCTCAACCACCTTCCTCATATGGGGCTAACCCTGGTTATGGAACCGATGCTGTCCCTCCACCTGCAAGCTATAATGGTGGACCAACTTCATATCCACCTTCTTATGGTGGTGGTGGTGGTTATGGTGGAGATTCTGGTGGTGGTCGTGGTGGTTCAGGTGGTGGATATGGCGGTGCTCCACAGAGTCAAGGCGGTTATGGTGGTGGTTCTCCTGCTACTGATGCACCCACGAAGGTGAAGCAGTGTGATGAAACTTGTGATGAGTCATGTGACAATGCAAGAATTTATATCTCAAATTTGCCTCCAAATGTGACTGTTGATGAATTGAGAGAACTCTTCGGAGGAATTGGACAAGTAAGTAATTACCATTTTTCTTTTTTTAATTACACTAATCTAAATTGATAATTTGTAATAATGTATGTTAAGAATTCATGGTGTTTGTTATTGTAGGTTGGGAGAATTAAGCAGAAGCGAGGATATAAGGATCAGTGGCCTTATAACATTAAGATCTACACTGATGAGAAAGGAAACAACAAAGGAGATGCTGCTTTGGTTTATGAGGATCCTTCTGCAGCACATTCTGCTGGGGGATTCTACAACAGTACGCACATTATTTTCTCAACTAAATAAATTATTTTATGGGTATGTCTAATTTAATTTTTTTAATGTTTGATCAGATTATGAATTGAGAGGTTACAAAATTAGTGTGGGAATGGCTGAGAAATCTGCTCCAAGGGCTCCTCCTGCTCATGGGCAAGGGTATAAATATAATAATTAATAAACAAGATAAGTCTTTAATCTTTTGGTGATTGATTCTGTGTGAGTGTGCTGACATTGGTTGTTTGTGCAACAGTGGAGGTGGTGGAAGAGGAGGCGGCGGAGGCTATGGTGGTGGTGGTGGTGGACGCAGGGACAACTACAGAGATGGTGGTCCGGATAGGAACTCTCATGGTGGGAACCGGTCTCGGCCATACTGATGATGAAGGGGATTTATAAGTTAGTAAAACTGTGAAGAAGAGAGGAGGATTGTAGTGGATTGCAGGCAGGGGGTTGATCTTGTTCTTGTTCCCTTGGGGAGGGAGTTTAAGAGGTAGGTTTATCAATTATCATGCACTTGCTTGCCCCTTTTCTCCTCACTTTTTTTCTTGATAAAATCAGATGTTGTTAAGGGGGATTAATTGTGTGAATGTTTTTATAGAGGCCAATGAATGCCAAGACTAGAGGATCATATATGTGTACTCCAAATCTGCTTCTTCTTCTTCTTCTTCTTCTTCTTCTTCTTCTATAAGGTAGGTAGATTAAGAGATATTTTTGCAGGTGAGTGTTGCTGTTGCTTGCTTTTTGAATAACAACCAACAAAAATACTACTATGACTACTCCTGCCTGATTCATTTGCATTGCGTGCCTTTTTTCTTCTCAACACTATTCTGATGATTAAAACCCAAATCTGCTGGATGAGCTGTTTCAGTTTCACCCTCTTTTCATTGTAAACTGTGTTGGCCCTTAGGGTTCTTTGTGTTTTTTTTTTTTTTGTTTTTTGTTTCTGTTGCTGTGCTGTGCTGTGATGTGGTGAAAGCAGCAAGGAGCTGGAGTATTTTTGAAAACAGGGTTAACGACATGACTACTAAACATGCTTCTAATGACCTAATATTCCGAGCACTTGAAATATGTAGACTAATGATATGCAGTTTGTATGAGCTTAACAAATATACTACAACACTCTGTAACCAACTTTTTCTTTATTTAACATAAATCTTGCAAAATACAAGTTGGTCTGCTACACTCTTACTTATGAATTATGATGCATCGTCACCAAGCAGTGACGCCGGTCTAGTTATGATTCTGGGTTTATTTTGGAAGTTTCTCAAACTCAGTTTTGCACCCATGGAATCATAATCATATTTGATTTTTCAAATAACAAGTCTACATTTATGAGATGATTTATATTATATAAGTTTATGACTGATACCAACTACATGGGTGTAGTAATAACTTGAAACAGTTACTTTTCAATGAGTCGGTGCAATTAACCCAGGGTTGTGAAGAAAGGTGTATCTTTTTACAGGGTTGTCTTTGGATGTTTGTTTATTCTTTAAATACTAATGCAGATGTTGTATGATGGAAATGATAAAACGTAAAAATCAAAAACTAACTCCCATGACATCTTAAAACAGAGATTGATTGATTTCAAGTATTATTGGATCTGAAGTTATCGGTCACAGAGCCTGTCTTAAGCCATATGGAATTTGTCTAGTAGATGTCAAAATAAATTGCATGCAAACAAGTCACTAGTGCACTCAATGTAATTGCTTACTAGAGAGTGAACTTTTATATTATAAATGACATGTAATATTTTGTAGGCTATAGAACTCGGGCTTAAGTACAACAAAACCTTGATTGAGATGAAGTTAAGATAACAAAGAACATATAAGGAAAAGAATGCGTCCAATTCGAGTTCATGGTTCGAAGTTGTGGAAATTTTATGCATGTATGATAAGAAAAAAAATTTGAGTTTTGAAAATTAAATAATTTTTTTTGATTTTTGAGACCAACGGGCTTTTAGCTTAGCGGTATCAAGTGCTATCTTTTTTCCTTGAGGTTGAAGATTCATGTCCCGTCCCGTCAGGGACATATGTGGATTAAGAAGTAATTTACGAGTATATTAGATTTACCTTTAAAAAAAAAGATTCTTGAGTCTAACATATAGGCAAGACATAGAAGAAGATGCAGAAAGAAGAATCAAACTCGATCCGAGTTCATGTAAGAGTTATGACTAGTGTTCAAAGTTTGAAGAAATTTTTTTGTATAAGTTTAGACAACTTAAGTTTTCAGGTAACTATTTTTAGGACTATTTAACTCGGGTTATACTTTTTCAAATTAATTAATTATCGAGAATAACATATAGCCAAGACGGAAGATGAAAGAAAAAAAAATCAGCCCAATCCAAATTTGTCCAAATTCATATGGGAGAGTTAAGGTAGTTCAAAGTTAAGGAAAAACAGTGTGAATTCCGATGTTTACTCGAACATAATGGTATCGGATCGGATCCGAATGTCCCGATAAGCGAAATCATGAATTAAGGGAACCAAATACCGACCCGGAAAAACTATATGGTACCGGTTCAGTTTCATACTGTCATTTTTTTGCTCACCCAATGAGGGAGATGAAATCCACAGGGACTACAATGAAAAGCTTTCAAAAGAATGATGCCTAAATTTTTTAAAATAGTTTGACTGAATCTAAAGATAACAACAAACCTCAGAGACCACTTATGCAATTGACCATTTAAGCAAAATTTTATATGAGCTCCATATTCAAGAAAGTTTGAAACCAACCCAGTAACTTTAATGTAGAAAAACAGATTTCATCTATGTGTATAACACTAATGTTTGCAAAATAATAATCACAAATCAACAACTATAACTATTATTTGGGGGTGATGGTATTTAACTCGTCTTCAACCTGAAACACAATCGAGAAAAAACAAACTTGATATCAGATTCAAATGTGTATAACTATTACACCTTTCTCACTACATTCAAGATGGAAGTGAAAATGCACGTTAATTATTGACAATGATTACTAGATTCTTAGCAGAATCACTCGATAGGAATCGGATCTAACACTATATGAGTTAAATGCAAAAAGTAGCAATGTACTTTCATTAAATTGTTTTATTATAGCATCTACTTTCATTTCTTCCTATTATTTGGTATGCATTGGATTATTTTGATTTGAGACACTTCCACTCAATCTCTTCTCTTGCAAAAGATGAGAATACCCTCTTCATCCTCATCATAAAAATTAATAAAGTACCTGGAGTTGCAGCAGCCAAAAGCCATGGCAGGTTATCCCATCTCAGAATTCCCATATCCACTTCCTGTTTTAAGCATTCAACCTCAACTTTAACTCATTGACTGTAAAAAATAAAGTTAAAAATGGAGGGAGGCAAGAAGAAGTTAGAAGTAGAATAGCAAACTTGCCTAGAATTGACGCGGCTTCCACCGCAGCTGCTGCCCTTGCTCTCTTCACTGCATCATTAACCTCCACCTGCAACCTTTCAATTTCACGAGCCATAAACATCCTGCATTTCTCCATTGCTTCACGTTGTTTAATGTTACTCACATGCACCCTTTTCTCATGTTCAATTACTTCTCTGCAATTCACATTTCACCCCAAAAGCTTTCAAAATCACGAATGATTGCACAAAAAATTAGTTTAATCATGCTCCTATCTAACTACTACTCACTCCAAATGTTCATGTTTGAATCATAAAAGCAGGATTAATAGCCAACATATATTCATATTAGTACTAAATGGCGAATAACTTATTTATGAAATGTTTCAGTTTCGTATTAACTCAAAATGGCAAGGATTATTAGATATGGATTCACAGATTTCATCAGTGAAATTCATCAAAATCATTAGGGTTTATAAGTTATAATGAAAAGGGGATTAATCTGGAGAACAAGTTAATATAGAAAAAGAGTGATTCTGACCTTCCTCTTTGGATTTCTTTCTGCATGCTTTCAATTTCTGCTTTTATTAACGAAATTTGGTGGTATTCGAGCGATACTTTCTCAACGTCGCCACGGAGCTTATACAACTTCTCATCGAGTTCTTTCTTCTCCGATCTTAATTTCTGCAGATGGCCTAGGACTTTAGCCAGTTCAGCATTTGATTCGTCAATCGATCTGACCTCAGCTTCCATTATCACTGCCCTATCATAAACCTCGCGCACCTCTGCGTCCCTCTCAGCCTTGATTTTCTCGGCAGCGGCGGAAAGGTGGCGGAGGTCGTTTTGGGAAGCAGAGAGTTCCACTGTAAGAATTTCGTGAAGCGTCAGAAGGTGTTGATTGTCAATAAGAAGTGATTGCATCTGTGGATGCTGGGCGGTGCCGTGATCTCCGATGACGTAACGAGCGGGTGGAGTTGAGTCGATTAAGGGTTGTCTCAGCTTTAATGGGCTTGATGCAATGTAGTTTCTTCCTTCCATTTCACCTGTTCGTAGTTGGCAGTGTGTGTCGACAACCAACTAGCGGGTTTCTTACCGGCGAGAGCCGCCGTGAACAGGGCGTTACCCTCTTTCCCGCTTCCGGCGGCGTGCTATTTTAACTTTTTGTTTGTTAAGAAGGTCACATTTAGGCCAGCCGTTTTATATATAATCGTACATGCCTGCATCACTGCATGACTCGCATTTTCATTATTTATTTTAGATTTTAGATATAAGCTTTTATACCGTCCTATTATTTTTGAAAATTTTAAATAAAGTTTTAAAATTTTTATTTATTTATTTATTGATTTATTTTTTAATTTTTAAACAGAAAAATTTTATTATTCTAGAAAAAATCACATACTCTATTATTTCCTGTTAAAATATAAAAAACAACTTTTTCGATAATTTGAACAAATTATTAAATAATCGGGTCTTTACTATTGAAAAAAAACTTATAGAACTATATTAAATTTTTCCCAAAATAATGAGATTTTTCTGCATAAAACCCTTTAAATATAAAACGTCCAAAATTTAAAAGCAGAACGAGAACTTCACAAAAATATGTTGGTAAATATTCAAATTTTGAGAATTTATTCGGATCAAATATCCCTAAAATCTGAAATATTTAATATCTATCATTTTTGAATTAAATGAATCTTTTAAGCTCGAATTAACCCAACAAATTTTTCCCATTTGTTTAAAAAGGTCACTAACGTTTTTTTTACTTAAAAAGAATAAAGTCCAATTTCAAGTGTTTAAAACATCCTCTTTGAAGAAACAACTGGGTAAGTCGGTTAAATAAATGACATGTAATCATTTAGGTTAAGTTTTGGTAAAACAAAAAAGAATCCCCCCACCCCACCACCCAAATGTCACATGCATTCCCTCCCGACCGACTTCACATTCGATTCTGGCATAGTGTCACACCCCCAAACCAGAACGGCGGAAACGTTCGGGGGCGGATGACGTCATGCTCAGTATCATAACCATAGTGAAGAAAGTTAAACACGACCATCATATATATAATTTAAAAGGTTACATTGTTTCCAAAATACATGTTTCCAAACAAATTACATATGATGATAAAATGTGGCAAAAGAATCTACGCCTTAGCGTCTTGACTTCAGAAATCTTGTAGTTACCTGATTCACTGATTACCTGAGAATACAAGTTGTTTTGAAAAGAGAGTATCAGCATAAAGCTGGTGAGTGCATAAGCGATTTATAAAGAAAATAAATGTTGCTTCCTTAAAGTTTTGTTACCAGAAAATCCAATATTTTCTGAAAGGTTTGTTGTAGTTTTAACCGAAATAAGGCTTGGTACGAGTAAGAAAATCGTCGCACTTATATGTGTAATTTTATGTTTAAGTAAAACCCCTTTTTATGAAAAGGTCGTAGAAATTCCGTGAATCGCATGTTTTGTTAATACTCCGTGCGAGGTGTTATAACCATACTAAAGACTATAAGGCCTTGTATGCGATGTTCTTCAGGCGTCGGAAAGTTATGACACTTGTCACCCCAGACCTGTCGGTCTAGCTGTTGCAAGCAGCTTAGGTGCAGGTTTGTCAGACCCAGTATAGATCTATACACAACTATCACGTTCTCTCTCCAGAAGATCCTGATTATAACTACATGACTTTTCTGCGGTACTTAGGAGTACCCCGAAGGAGAAAGTCTCGCGAGTTTAATTAATAACAAGATCACGTAGTGTGTAATGAAATATTTGTTTTGTAAGTCGATTGAGTTATTGTTTCTTTGTCAAA